AACTGCCGTTCTAACACACAAGAGGACGAGTTCTATGACAAACTCACCAAATTCATTCGGATGAGTCGAAGCTCTGATATGGTCGTGGTCACAGGTGACTTTAACGCGCAGGTTGGAAAACAGCGCATCGGAAGCCTGTCTAGACGGTCGTTGTGCTCTGCCCTGCCAACGAACAGATAATGGCCATCGACTTCTTCAGTTCTACGCAGATCACCATCTGTTCCTATCCAGTACCAATTTTCGACAGCTTTCAACGGACAGCAACGTGGCGCTTCAATTCAACTTTTACGCTAACTTTATTCGACCGCATAGCAATAAGCTACCGTAGGCGTAGCTCAGTGCAAAATTGCAGGTCCTATTAGACCACCTGCGTCGATTCTGACCACTCGTTAGTTTTCATACAGTTTACTCTCCGACTCACTGCTCAGCGAAAAATTCCCAGCAAAGTCGGCTAGCTCATCATCACCTGCCTGTTCTAGATGTTCGTGCACGATATGAGTCATAGTTGGTGTCTGTGCTAAGCGCGCTTCAACATGATCTTGGAGATGAATGGTGGGATCAGGTTAGGTTAGGAAATGTTACTTATGGGTCGGAATCTCAAGCTCTTTGGACATCTTATGATGATGGAGAAAACGCGACAAATCCCGACCTGACAGGATCAAAACAGGGTTGGGTCATGTTTTTAACGTCGGCTGACGAACAGTATCATTAAGAATCGTGAGAACTAGTAGACAACAATAGCTAGTAAAATGGAGGTAGCAGCTGCATCAGAGAATAGTCAAAGACTGATGCGCCATACGGGAGACCGGTGGGTGATACAATCTGCAACAAAAGTGGACACACTATTCACAATAGGGGAAAACGGCTTGACCGATGGGCAGAACAGTTCAGCCTACCTGGCGCTAACCAAACTATCTCGTCTATTGTAGTTGAGGCTCCGTGGGCAGTGTCATGTGCAACTCGAACTGAGGCAGAGTTACGATATTGTGAACAAGACTTGAATAAGGGGAAAAGCGGCAGGACCTGGCGGTCTTCCTCTTACCCCTCTCAAGACGAGGGGGGGGGCGATGACCTCATAGATTCCATTACTAATTTAACGCATAACATCTAGTCACACGAGCGCACTCCAGCATCCTGGAGTGAATCACTGATCGTTTCAATTTTAAGAGGGGTATCGCAACGACTGCGCAAACCACTGCAGTCCCCATCGTCACAAAAGTATTAATCTCCGTTGTGCTTCGACGTCTGCCACCCTTCAGGGAGACAAATATGCGCGAACAACAACCAGGTCGCGTCAGTAACGACTAATGTTCACGCTGCGTCACTTCCTTGAACTAAGCCAAACACACCGTCGACCAATGTCGTGTTCCTCGCACTATAGGCGTCTTCAAACGGGTGTCGCCAAGTCCCGTTCTGAAACTGGACGCTCAGGAATTAGTTATAGTGGATTGTATTTCTTACATAGTTATGTGACACGACGGTAACGCAGTAAAGGACATAACCGCCCCCATTTACAAAGCTCGAGCAGCGTACGCAGAACCAAAACATCCATAGAAACGGTGTGACGCTTCTTTGAAAGTTGAAAAGTTGCATATACTGCGTCACCGTATGATCAGTTCCACTTGGTGGTTGTGAGAACTTGAATTTGTGTGTAGAAGACATCCGTTGCCTAGCGGTTTCCGACAACTGATGCTTACGTAGTCTGATCGAGGTAGGATAGAGTGAGCGGGTGAGTAACCTAGAAGTCTTCCGATGTTTGGGAATGCATCGAACACCACGCAGTTTGTTAGGACACATTCTGCGTATATCTGACGGTCGTCTACCGCACCGCGCCTGCTATGCAGCGGCCGCTCCAAACTAACGAAAACAATGTTGAGGCCAGTAAATGACATGGAGACGAGGCATGAAGAAATGCACAGAGATTAGGTAGAGTGCGTATCTCGCGTCTTCCTGGTTGGGATCCGTAATTGGATTGTTGGAGACACTGAAGGATATCGCGACTAACCGACAGCAGTTGCAATCTAGCAATCACTTCTTATTAGACCAAAATGCTTCAAATAATGTGCACGCACAGTTAAACTGTGTATTCTGTGTAGTGATCATAGCTGTTCGTTTTCTTCTTCCGTCCCTCAATATGGCCCCATCCCTATCCGCCTTACACATTCTCACTGAACTTGTATGCATTATGGGTTTGGCAGCGATCAGTGAAGTTCGCTTCACTGTATTACGCCGTATGGTGGTGAACCAAAAAATTAGTTACCTACTGTCGTAAAAACGTCCATCAATGCTTTAGTAGCTTCATTTTAAGATAAATTATTAGGCCTTAGTTTTTGAGGAGGGCAACGTGGAGGAAGTTGGTGATCGTCGAAGAAGAGCATTTGATGACGCAGGTGAGAGAGCGTATAACCAATTTGTCCACCTGAGATTACTCTTGTTTATCCATTGAGATTATTTTAAGATACCAGTCGTTATGGTTGCCTTATATTTTTAGTTGGGCGAACCCGTGTCATGTGCATTGATAGAAAACGAAAATTGAAATTGAAGCACGCCTCTCGCATGAACGTCTCATATACCAGAATTGGTATTTCGCTGAATGTCGTAGTTCTCAGTACAATTCATCTGTTCTACTTCATTAGGAAGAAAATTTTAATCTACTTCAGATTATAGGTCGGGATCTTTGAAAGCAGCATGGCACGTTAACTTTCTTAATTCGTCCGTAACCAAGCTAAGACGTTTTCTATTCAGGTAGTGGGGGACATCTTGGCTTTGTAGTATTCGGAATAGAACTTGAATTCGAATAGCATGAACTTGGATTCGGACTGGAAACCCACTGAATAGCGCAAAACCAAGTAGAACCAAGACGGACTGTGGATAGAGTTAGTTCTTTTCGGTAAATCACGCAAATAAATATCACAAGCATCCAACATTCATTGGTCGATTCTTCAATGGCCAATCGACAACGATATGGTTCATTTAGTTACCTTTTATTCATCCAATCTGGTTGGTGCCACTGGAGACCACAGGATTGGACGGTGAATCCGTTTCCTGAATGGCTACCTGAAAGCTTCACCGTGGTGCCTACGTACTCGATGAGCGATAACCACAGGCTTGTCAGACCAAAGAATGGTATTTTAGTGTACAATTGTGCAGTAACCCTGAGAGACGTTGGTGATTCTCCAGGATGCTCACAGAATCAAAAGATTGGTGGCTTCGATAAGTGCAATCGGATAAGATGTCCGTGTCCGTCTTCCGGAGAACGTCGTGCAGTTATAAATAGTAACAACCCCGTAAGTTAATAGTTTTGTCCAACTGAGTAGGGGAACGAAAGGTGCTAGGTGGTAAGGAACATCATACCGTTGCTTCCCGGAGCCAACCTGGATCCCATCAAAGTGGTATAGTGGCCTTTCACTATATACTCTAATGTGATAGTCAGTTAAAAGGGTAAATCCCGTGTCCATATCTACCTTAGATTTGATCGGAATTCTGCGCTGCTACGACTCATTAGAAACCCTCGAGAGATGGATGCGTTGTTGGACCTTGCGGAAATAACGCTGCCTACCACTAAAAGAGGAAGTACTGGGGCCGTAATTCGAATTCAGAATTCTATCGCCCGAAAACCAATGCTCTTACTGTTAGCTGTCACAAATTATTGTGTATCTTACCATGGAGTTCTGGCAAAGTTCAAAGTACATTCCGAACGGGTATGTATCGCAGCTGTGGATTTAAGGCATACTAGCTCTCTGGATGACGAATGACATTACATTATAAGTCTTGAATTGGAAATTCTTGATGGTACAAATACCATCTGGCGAATATAGCAATGGATGCCTCAGTTTTTCCCTGTTTCAATGGGTATGATCTAGCCTGGAAAAAGGCTTTTTAACACTTATCCGTCATACTGGTGTTCTCTGGTCCGAATAACATACAGTTTAGTTCGACTACGCTTATCATATTGGTTCTTCATACGGTTATTCGGGCCAATTTTACACGACTATCTAATACTAGATGTTAAACCGACTCCATGGGTATTGTACATCATCGATGACTTTGCTCGATAACTGGTTGCCAGATCAGTGCATAGTGGCACCTAGTTTTTTCTAGTGGCAACCATAAGCCTGAGAGCTCTAACTCTGTCTCCACAGTACTGATTCAGGTTTTGATCTCACCATATAGGTGACAACGCTATTCCGAAAAAGGTGCTGAATCAAAGTATCAGTGGGGACTAATCTGTATCAAGACACCATAGTACATGATGGTATTATTATATATATTTTCACACACGTCTGAGTTCAGACTGTGCCAAACAATAATAACAATAATCTTTATAAATAGGTCCATGATGGTGTTGGAGGAATTTTCATAGTTATTAAATTTTTTTGCACACACACCTTAGTTCGGCATTCGATGTCCCACTCGTCAATTAAGATCAATGGTTTCATTGACCAATTGGCTAATTTTCACAACTATGGCGTTTGAATTGTGGTGCTTGCCGCTTAACCGTATTTCAGTGGAAAGAAACATCGGTTCGTAGAAGCACACTGCCGAGCCCCACGACTCAGGTATTTTGTATCTCAAAATACAACATCCATTTTATCTCTCTGTGATGCATCGTCTTCGTTCATCACTACGCCACACCAGGCATTACTAATCGAATTCTGAACGTTTAATTAAAGGAATTTCTTTGCACAAGTTTTAGTCTCCAATATGACTACGAGATTCTGTGTGATTAAGATTGTATCTTTCTACTTGCAGAAATGCCTCAGTATCTTGGAGGAGGCGATCCGTTACGCGGACCCATTACTGACTGAACACGCCTTCCGGGGTACAACAAACAATCCGGTTTGGTCCTTTGCTGAAACGAAGCCCATAATCAGTCTGTTTGAAGAGCTCCATCCAACCTATAGCTGTCCTTTAGCCATGGATGAGTGTATGCCGACAAATGAAATTGGCACACTATCGGAACGTTTGTTCAATCTAGCTCCGGTCACCTGGGAGGGATATGTGGTTGCGCCACCTGGGAACATTGCGCTGGAACCCAAAGGAATCGATCGATCTAGTTGCATGACCGAAACAGACAGACATTCTGATGCGAAATAAATAAATTTTCATCTTTTGTTTGTTCTTGTATATGCAGCAAATGTACAATTGTTATCCAGAAAGAGTTCCTATATCCTTTACTTACTAACGGAAAAATCTTCAAGTTCACCTCGTTCTTTGGCACTGAAGTGAACCTACGTCAGTAAGAGCCATTTTCCAGATTTTTGGATTTGCTAACAAGTAATTGTCAACAGTTGAGTGCTTCCGCTCAGGACCTACTTGATTTGGGCATAACGGGAACGTTTTTCATTACACACCAGTGTGTGGTGGACAGCAGACAGGGTGGAATCCGATACTCATGAAGACCCGCCGTTCACCGATGATAACCGGCAATCTAAGCCCCGGGACTTGGAGGGGCGAACAACATAAGACCCCGTTAAGCCTGATGTGGTATTGAACCGGACAACAGCAAGGCTGCTTGCCACCTAAGTTGGGTGGCGATGGCGGGGATCGGACCACAGGATCTGAAGCACACTTTAGACAGCGAATAAACCACTGCACTACCACCACCATCACAACTTTGTTAGGCTCCCCAACGCCCTATTGTCATCAATGCGCACCTCTTTGGGAAGGTAGAAAAGGATTTTGCTTCCAGAGAAATTGTTCAGTCTCCTTTCAATTACCTTAACATCATCATCATCGTACAGCGAAATACAGTGAAGCGAACTCCACTGACCGCTGCCAAACTCACGAACGTAACCGGAAAGGAAGAGAAACTGAACCATATTTTAAACAATCGATGAATTGTGCCGTCACTTTTACCGAATCCTAAACACAGCTTATAAATTCGCTCCAGGTTTCGACGCCCATCAGATATATACCGCAAAAGTCGCGTGGTGAACAAAGAACTTTGAATTAACGTAGTGCTAGATGGATGTCTGCGATTACAGAAACATCTATTCCACAAAATTTCCGTTCGATGTTTGAAGATCACTAGGCGACTTCTGTGCTTTTACTCAATTGAGGAATACATCGTCCTGAAAGCCACGTGTAAATATCTATATCCCACAATATTCATTCGTATAGAATGCTTGTCGAATCTCAACTAATTGTTTTGTTTATATTGAATGAACCACGAATGCACAGCAAATCATTCCCAAATAAAAGATATATACTAAACACAATTTTTTTCTTTTCAAAGCAAAGAAGCATTTAGTACTTCGGTCTGTAAACGAAAGTGCACCTAATCTAACCTATATTGCACTAGTTGTACCGCATACAACCAAAGAGTGCAACTTCAAAGTCCCCAAACAGAATGCGCCGTTCGGTTCAAATGGTCACAACAAGCAGGGTAGTTATTGAAATCTTGGGCACAAACAGAGCATAGTCGAGGAAGAAACTCATACAAGAAAAGTGCAGCTGAACACTTAATGAATTCACGTTGTGCTGTCTCTTTGATTCTACTCTCAACCTTTTTACCTTTCTTCTACTCCTTCATCCGAATGGGCAGAAAAATGGCGGAAACCAAAACCAGTGCACGATGGTGCATGGTTAATGGTTGTCGAAACTGAACTGAACCGAACTCTTCCTTGGCACATTTGCACTAAGAAAGGAACGATCTTACAAGCAAAGAATCTCAATACAAAGTCCCCATCGGAAATCTGAGACAACACAAGGAATACACCCGAGATTCGATAAAATATGTAATCAATAGAAATTCGTATGTACATCTGTATTCTTGACGCTATCCGAAATCCTGTTTCATCGCGAAACCTGAAACTTCTCAGGTGTCAGATGTCAAACCTGTTTTGTCAATGAATATTAACCAATGGAAAAAACATACCGATCCGTTGGCGCACAGCTTGCTTACGCTTCTCTTGCTCGGTCGATTGTGGTGGGGCCTCGGGAGTGGGCTTGGTTTCATCAATCTTCGCAGTCTCACCGACCTTTCTGGAATCGATGTACCGTTTAAATTCAATTAAATCTTGTAATCCATAATCAATACGAGTGAGTGGACGCCGTTGCATCACGTTCAAGGGCTGTCAAAACAATTAAACAAATCAAAAATGGATGAGGTACCGAGGCTTTTAAAAGTATCAATAAAGTGATCAAAAGATCTAGTGAAGTATGAAACACATCTGGTATTCTTCCTTCTATACACATTAATACTTATTTCATTACGAGGCTTGAACTCCTGTGAATTTTAGTTACGCATCCTGGAGTGCGTTGCCAGACGGATAGGAGGCATGAGAGAGAAAGAAATGGTTCACTTCCGATTGTCGAATAGTTATTTAATTAGGCTCATTTTTACTGTCATATTCCATCAGGGTAACACCCACAAAGGATATGATTAGCTACGGTACGCAACCTGGTTGCCTACTTTCTATCACTGTCACCGTGAATTATCAAGAACGAATGTGGGCCTTGTTTGGTTAGTTCACATTGTACAACCATTAACCATGCACATTCGTGCGCCGGTTTTGCTGTCTTTTGAATGAACAACAGGAGAAAGACAGGAAGTTTGAAAGCAGAATCGAAGAGAAAATTGAGAACCTCAGTGAACTAATGTTGCAAAGAAATTGAGGTGCACGAACGCCACTGTAAACGACAATCAACAATGGTACTCAGTGTCTCTAACCATGGGTACGATCATCCCAAGGTCCCCAACCAGGAAGCCTAATAGGAGCTTTATGACAGTCCCCTGATTAGGATTTTCACATCCTCGTGCCAGGTCTTAGCTTGACCACCCTTGATCTTTTTCCACCCATCACCTGTCTCGGCGAACATCACTCACCGTGGCNAACCTATTTGGTGGGATGCATAACACGCCCCAACCAGCGTAACCTATGGAGATCGACCGCGACTGCCTAAAACTCTACGCCTAACCCTGGCATAGCCCATCTGGTTGCCTCACTAGATACGTACAAGGCTGCGTAAACAGGTGTTCAAACACCGACAGTTTACCTTTATCCTGTTTCACTAATGGTCAAGTTTCTGCGCCGTAAAGCAGAACTGACCGAAGTGCTGCGGCATACACTCCATCGGATGTCGCGACGGCACCATAGATGTCTCAAGTTGGCAAATGCCAAACGAGCCTTATGTATACGAGCTGACGATTCATCCGTGATACATCGACCGGGTGAGATGTAGCTGCTCAAACAACAAATTAAATAGAAACGGAGAAAGCGGGTAACCCTTTCGAACACCACTTTCCGGGGTGAACGCGGAAGATTTGGCCATTTAACTAGACTATAAAGCCTCAACAACTATCGGCCTAGCGACTAAATCAATGTGCGGTGATTGATAGCTCAACCAGTTAAGACAAGATCTTATCCATAAACTATCAGGTGGCGCGTTAGATGCAAATACCAGCTTCCCATTTCTGCAGTTCACAGATTTCCGACATGTGAGGCCGGGATATGTTACGATTGTACTAAAACCCAACCGTTGACTTGGTGCAAAAATGAGGATCAAGTATACCGATTCGGTTAGGAACATGGAGCTCAGATTCTACGAAGCGAAGATAAAATGCACGGCCTGGTCTTGTTGCGGTTGCAGAAAAAAATTCAGTAAAAATACAAGGGGCAGATGGAATATTCTATATGACGACGGTTGACCGAAGATAAAACTAACGTAGCACATTAAATCCAAGTGAAGGAAATAGGACGGGAGGTGACAATGGACAAACAGTCAAATTGATTTGGGTCAATGTTCTTCGTTCGCGCATGTAATACCTCGCTCGCTCGAGGAGTCAAACAGTCTATAAGGCATAGGGAGCATACTTTGTCCATTCATTTGCATACATTAATCGTCCATATTTTGTTCGACATCGAGTTTTCATAGTTCAGTTATAAGAAGACCCTTAAGAGTGCCTGGTGCCTCTGAACAATCGAATGGGCTGATCCAAGCTTGATACTCTAAGCAGTTATAAGAATGTTTCAAGATATATTCCTTCACAGGAAGAATTTTATGCCTTTCTCACTGAAGGCTAGCTAAAAGATTGCCCGGTCAAATCTGATTGCTTCATCATAATCATCATCACTGACTACTGGTAGACTCACAAATTAAGTGATAAAGTACAAGATGGAGAGGGATTGGGCTTTTCTAGAGAGCGGAAAAGTAAGTGCATCTCTGTGGTCAACACACAGTGCACAACCTAACTTTGCACACATCTTTTTAAGCATTCTGATCTAATAAGAAATGACAACAAGAACGGCAATACTGTCGTTTAGTTATCATATCCTTCAGTGTCTCCAACCACCCAGTTACCGTCTTTTCGATCCCAACCTAGAAGATGGGAGACAACTATTCTACCTAATCGCTCAGTGCACTTCTTCACGCTTCGTTTCCACGTAATCTGTTGACCTCGATGTAGTTTATTACAACCTGGAGCCGCAATTGCGAATAAGGCGCGGTGCGGTAGACGATCGCTGGACATGGGCAATGCGTGTCCTAACCAACGAAGCTTACTAATCTGAATTAGATTTCATAAAGACGTCTCCACCGAATGATTATTAAACACTCCTAAAGCCTCAGTATGTTAGGGGTGGATGTATTGGGTTGACCGGTTACCCATCCCTTACACCTCACGAAATGCTCCTAGATGACCAAGCGTCTGGTATAGCCTCTGCTGAGGAAGCCCTACTCAGACCCACAGCAGAAAATGCTGCTGGTTCTGTTAATAACAGATGGAATCATCCGAGTGAACCCAAACATTGCTTTTATGTTAATTTCTCACTGTCAGATGCTGAAAAGATTTCAAGCATAACGGTAGGTGTCCGGTAGTGGAATAAGGGTTCTGTAGATACTGCAAATATTGTCTATATATATATGCGCACGCCTGTACGCTACTCACGAGTAGTCAAACACTGATCGCCGTTTTTGGTCCGGGTGCGGCGCCATGGAAGCTATTGTCTATTAGTTCAAACAGCAGAGTAATTAGTTTCCCATCTCCCTTCCCCACTCAACGAAGAACTTTCAGCGCTTGTAGCCTGTTTTCATACTCGGAATTCATATGTGAGACCCATTTTGTGAAATACTTCCGCATCTATTCTATATGCACCATCATATTTCCTTTAGAAAAGGTCGTCAGGCTAAGATGGAACCCTAGGCATGGGTTTCGACGATGGGAAAAGATGTCAAAGAATTGGAGATCTGAATTAAGAAATTCAGTCGCGCAGTGGAAACGTAACCTGGAGCTGCGGTTGCAAATCACTAGGAAGAATATTCTACGGGTATATTCAATCGGGGCTTTATGTGGTTCGCCACTCCCGGGGCTCAGGTTACCGGTTTCCAACACTGCACAGCAGGTCCTCGTGACTATGGGTTTTTCCCGTCTACTGCCCATCTCAATAAGATGTGTAATAAAATCTTCATGGAGTCGCCTGAAGTTAATCGGGAACAGTTCTGGTGTTTGAATCCAACCTTCATAGCTGATCCCACGAAACACGCAAAAGGCAGTGTGGCGTAGACATGTACCAAATTTAACTTANNAGCCAGCCATATTCAAGTCCGCAGCCGCAAAACGACAAGTAATGCACTTGTTGCTGTGGAGCGTGCTTTTGTTGCATCCATCTGCGTAATAATTGCTGTGGAGGCCAGATTCCACCAAGTAACCGCAGATCACAATGGTGCCGAGTTCGGAATCAGCCACCCTAGTCGCATATGCACAAACTTCGCAGGGTTTACAGGAAATATCCAAAAGGCAATTCAACGAGGTAGCCTGTCCAGGTTCTCTTGGAGGATGTGGTGGTCTTCTGTTGTTTTTATGAATCAGCACAATTTAAAGCCGTCCTCGTGGATTAAGCACGGCGACTGTAATCAGGAAGGCAAAACGTTACCGTAGATGAAAAAACAGTACCGGGCCTAAAACGGAAATCTGGAGCATTCCAACGGCAGCAGGATTAAGGCTCTACCAGCAACAGTTTGTCGGGCTAGGATATTCTCGATTTAAGGTAATATCAACATCATCATCATCGTTCAGCGAAATATAATGAAGCGAACTTCACTGACCGCTGCCAAACTCACAATACATACAAGGCTAGTGGTAAAATCTAAGGTGGACAGGGGTTGAATCTATTTTGGGTGAAGTGAGAAGAAGATGAGCCACTATGATCAACACACAGTACGCAACCGAACTCTGCATACATACCGTTTCAAGCATTCTGACCTGATAAGAAACGACATCAAGAACGCCACTGCTGCCGGTTCGCTGCCATATCCTTCAGTGTCTCCAACCAACCAGTTGTGGAATCTTTCGGACCCCAACCTGGAAGATGAGAAACACCTACTCTACCTAATGGCTCTGTGCATTTCTTCATGCCTCGTCTCCACGTCATCTGTTGTTGGTAATAGTAGATCTCCGACAGCGTGGGCCTTTAACTTCTCCAATAGCCGTCCGGATGAAACTTTGATGAAAGCTTTGCTGTAGGAAGACCGACCCCATCTCCGAATCCACTCGAAACAATGGCAAGAGGTTGACTCCTAGCAACGCAGTCCGAGTTCTTATACTACTGGCGTCGTCTTAAAAGGCGGCACAATACCCAGCTACTCACCGACTCTCTTAATGCACAGGTAGAACACTCCCAACGAGAGGTTGTCCATCGAGGGGCTTCTAAGCAATCTGGAAGGCAGGAACATTAGTAAAAAAAAATATTATGAACCCAAAGGTCCAGTGAAACATGCACACGACTCATACTCAACTCAAAATGACCGCGCCTGTGCCTTCATAAAATGATAGTATCTTACTAGTCTACCTCAATTTTTCCTGGAAGTGAGACAAATTAGGAATGTTTAGTGCATGAATGCTCTATCAGGAGACAAGTAGAGCGAAAAATCTGAATTCTTGGTGGTTTACCTAGAAATATGCCTTGTTTGTATTTTTATAAAGTATATAAGTGGTTGCAAAGTATGTCAAGCGCTGCCCCACGTGCTGGACGTCGCGCTGTGTTGAGTTGCAGCCCTAATTTATTAAATCACATTATTGTTTACTAAGACGTCAACATATTTAACATCGGATAAATCAAAA